CTCTGACACAAGAGGACTCATTGCCTAGCCCCAGTGGGCTTTCACTGGGGTAAGTAGGTGCTGTGCCTACTGCTTGGAAATGACAGGAATCCTTCTGTCTGCTTTCTACTGACATTCCTATTCTGAATCAAACCCAGTGTTATCCTCAGAGATGGGCACAACCTCTCACACCCACTTTCTCCATTCAATGGTTTTATCATTATTATATTATCATGGGGATGTATCTGAGCTGTTCAGTCATTCCCAACGGCTCTTGGCTTACCTGCATGGCAAGTTATTATGCATTAGGAAAAGAAAAATAAGGAATGCAATTAACCAATGGCTTGGAGAAGAAAATAGATTAAAACCCAACTTCTCTCTCTCTGGCAGGGGCTGGGTAGTAATAAATGATGGTTCCTGTAACATAGCTCAAACTCCACTGTAATGTTGTATGCAAAATCTTAGCACAAAATTGCCTGCAAGAGTGGGAGGAGGTGAAAAATGTTCATCAGGTGTAGAATCAATTAACACAAGGCATCATTAGCACAGGGTCAGGGCGTCTGGGGAAGGCAGCACAGGACAGCGAGTCCTGCTCGGATTCAAAACACAATCAAAACAAACAGGAATGTGAATGCAGCCATGGCTGCCAAATGCTGGTGCCTCACTGGCAAAACCACACCCTCATCAAATCCTTCATCTCCGTAATTACAGTGTGGGCCTGTTCCCAGGCCTATGGCTGGGAAGGAAGCCCTTGTCAAGTGGAATACTGAGCCAACAGGAGCCCAGCAGCTTAAATAAATTCCCAAACTTGGGAGATTTTCCATTTATGATCCAATGCAATCAGCTCTCACCAGTAAAACTGCGAAGTGCCATGGGACAAATCTGAGACAAAGCTCACAGTGTCACCCTGGTCTCCTTCCAGCCCCACCATACAGCTCCCTACACCCAGATCCCTTATTTTCCCCCACCTCATCTCACACTGAGACTCCAGTTTTGGCCTATTCACATCAGCCTGGCGATTCCCACAGGCTGAGGGAAGACTTCAGTGAAATGACATGATTTAGCTAAAAGCACATCCTGAAATGAATTGGCACCTAGACCTGAACTTAAAAACATTTATCCATGGAGACTTGGAAAGATTCCTTGACGTGGAATGGTAAAACCAGAAGCTGTTACAACTTTAACCAACCAACAGCAACATAAATAGCAGCTAAGGTTTGTATTAGTCATCTGAAATGACAGGAATCATTAGCAGCTTTCAGATGAAGCTGGCCAGACACTTCTCCCACACCAGCATCCCTAGCTCATGACCCAGTTCAGACCCTCTTTCTAGTTTAACTTGCACAAAGCCAGGCACACTTTGCACTGCAATACCTCTGCTCTAATCCAAATGAAACACAATCCTTACTAAAGCAAAAGGCTGCTCCTGTGATGGTTTAGAGCTAATCAGCAGCATTAACAGATGTTCAGATCCAAAAGGAGAGCCTCAGAAACTAAGAACATTATTATTTCACTCATTCAAATCTTAGAAAATGCAAAGATCCCCATTCATCCTCTCCTTACGCTTATTCCATACACTCCTCTTCTGCTACAGCAGAAAGAAGTGCACCTGCCACCAATGCTCTGGTTGTCTTCTAGCTTTCCAATCTATCCAGAAGACTAACAAGTCTAGCTAATTCATGCAATGAAAAATACCTGAGAGACCTTGTATATGAACTAATTAAAATAAATAAAACCAGCATAGATAATGATAGAGCAAATCAAGTGCACATGAATTCAGCCAGTGACTCACCACTCCCTTGTTTTCCTCATTGGAAAACTCGGCATATCACCGTACCAGAGTGACAATGAGTCAGGAAACTGGCATGAGCCACAGACTGCAAGGAAATTAAAAGAAGTATCTACAAAATCTCTTTGGGGAGAGATCTGGGAGATTTTTGCTGGCTTGGAACAGATGTGGCAGTGGCCTTCACAAGTCTCTTCTCATGGCCTTCTGGCTACACAAAGCCAATGAAGGAAAATCACTTACAAGTTCTCCTCCGCACAATACAGAGCAAGGCTCTCGCTCTCAAGGAGCAATTTGATGCCTTTACTTTTATATCATCTTACTTATATTTTAATCAAACACATTCAAAACACACTATCATATCCTACTGAATGCTTGTTATCACCTTATCCAGTAAATAGGTGGGTATTACTTGCCTTAGCACCAACCAGAGTACATGCAAATATTTTGACAATACTAAACTGAGCACTAATGGCACGAGTGACATGACAATAACAGTTCCCAAATTACCTCCCTCTCAGCATAACCTCTGGCTGGTCACTTTGTTGCCTGCCTCAATCCCAAAGACCATGAGAACCTTCTGACACAGATTTTAGGGCAGGTTGTGATCACAAAGCCCAGCAAAAAGCCTGTGCCATCAGCTGTACCTTCTCCACACAAGCAGCTGTGTCACTGGAGATGCCAACAGATCACACTTCACTGCAGTAAGATTCAATTCCTAATGTCAAACTAAAAGAGTTCTTTAGAGAGAAATAAACCACCACAGATTTCAAGGTTGTGAAGCTAAGGCAAGAAAGCCTCTATGTTTTCCAGTGTCACAGGCTCCAGTGAGGGGGGACTTTTGACCTTTTTTATAGCCACACACACTTTTGTGACACAGAAGATGTGAGTGAACAAATGGGTGATCAGTGACGACTTACAGCACATGACAGCTAATTTCTCCAGTTAAGAAGATTCCTATCAAGTCTGTAGAAATACGCACTCAGATTGGACATAACTTCCAAGTGACTGCATCTCATCTCTAATTTACAATTTGCTTCTGCTTAGCAATGCCTCGAAGCTGTTTTGGAACATCACAAGCTGTCCAGGGCATGCTGGTATGTATCTGTGTAATGTAAGGAGCTTTCTACCCCTTATTACTATAGAGAATGTTTTATAAATGCAGGGGTGATGCAGATGCAGAGGTGCCCTGTGCAGAACTGCCCTGTTTCTCAGTCAAAGCATGACACATCTACTGGCGTGGTCCTGGGCTAAGGGAGATTTCTGGTAATCAACTTCATGCCAGCACAGGGGTAAAGGAGCATGTCTCTGCAATGTTAATTCATGTCCACTACACAAATCTCCCTCTGCAGCCTAGGTCTGGATAAAATCATGAGGCTTTAAGTGCAAAAGCAGGAAAAGCTGGAATTGCCTATAGCATTATCTTCCACAGGGAAAGCTGACCCCAGCTGACCAAGGGATATCCCAGACTACATGACATCATGCTTAGCATATAAAGCAGGGGGAAGAAGAGGGAAGGGGGGAATGTCTGGAGTGATGACATTTGTCTTCCCTAGTCACCATTACACATGATGGAGGCTGTGCTGAGGATGGCTAAACCTGAACTGCCTGACCATGAGAAATGCTGAAGGAATTCCTTGTTCTGCTTTGCTTGTGCAGGGCTTTTGCTTTATCCATTAAACTGCCTTAATCTCAACCCATGAGTTTTCTCACTTTTCCTCTTTTGATTCTCTCCCCATCCCACCAGAGGGGAATAAGTGAACAAGCGGCTGCGTGGGGCTTTGTTGCTGGCTGGGGTTAAACCATGACAGAGGTGAAAAAGGTTTCGACTGCAGATACAAATACCTACCCTAAATTTAGTAATCCCAGAATGGCCCTTACTGTTAAATATATGCTTTAAATATCCTTCAGACACTGCTGCTGAACATGGCAAGTAGGTTTATGAGTCTGACATCCTGCATAAAAAGGAGGATAAAACTACTCCAAGGCCACTCTTTTATTCCTTTCATCCCCATTTGATCTGTTCTCTCTAGAGCAGCATAACCAGGACTTCCTGGGTCTCCTTACCCGCCTGATGCTTCAGAGGGCACCATGATCCATACAGGAGCTTCTTGTACCAATAAATATACCCTTCCTCCTTCCTTCTCCCCACTCTTGTATTCATTCGGGGAAGTCTCCCATCACAAGTGCACTGACCTACACAAGAATCCTACCACAAACACAACGTAAATAAAACAAAAGGTCCTGTTTAGAGGAGCTGTTTGCACACCCTCCCATTACCTGTGGGAGACATTTTTCCTGTAGATGAGGCCTGTGACTCCATACTCACAGCGTGGGCTCCTGGAACCCTCTTGTGCTTTCCTCCATAACTACTTAGAGCATCCACTGTGATCCTCTGATCACAGGCATTTTTTTACTCTGTGTATGAGTGTAAATGCCCTTCTGTCATTGCCCACATCAATATTTCCCACTAACAAAGCAATGCAACACTCCTCCTCTGTGCATGTACATACATAACGTGTGTGTGTGTGTGCATGCACCTCCCACAGGAATGCATGAAGCATTTCTATTTTATTCTGGGTCAAGCTGCACTAGGAGGTGATCGAGGTTAGTGCCCAACTGTCAATGGCTGCATCAGTTACTCTGAGCAACACGTCTTTAAATGAATCTAGGTGGCAAGGGAAGTGGCTTTGTACAATTAGTCTAGTGAGGCACACAGGTATTCAAAGATCTGTGTGGGGCACAAAACCTTGTGAAGGAAGCCAGGGCTTACTCACAACACCATCAGGGAGAAGAAAAAAGAAACCAGCTTTGAGGTTATCAGAGGAGATATTTAAATGCATCAGTCTAGCTTCTTAAATACAACCTATTAAAGAATTTACCATGTCCTACAATAGCTCCATGACTGATACAGCAGTAAAATCTGTGTATAAAAGCCCATACCTGAATGAGGGCGTGTGCTTAGATGAGAAGACAGTGCACTAAAACAAGCATGACAGCCAGGGCTTCTCTGTAACTGGAAGGGGTCACTGGTGTAGCTATGTGACTACAGTGATACCAGGAAATCCTCACAGCACAAACAGGGCTTGCCCTATTTTATTTATAGACTGTTTTATCCAGTGTGAGTTGTAGCAATTTGCCCTCCACAGCAATGTTTTTGGGTTTTGCCCAGCTCATTGACATAGGAACTCTTTGACAAGGGCAATGGTAACAGAACAGTGATGCACACCCCTAAGCAACACAGCAAAACCTGAATTCAACCCAGGTTTGAGAGCGAGGACTGCTCTGTTCCCAATCCTGACACTAGATCACTATTTAACCTTCTGTAGGTTATATGATCATGCAGAATTTCAGAGTCTGCATTAACCTAATGAAGATAATAACAATAATCATGTGTCACAGATACAGCAGGGCTTGGTTATTATGTTCTTGTGAAGTGCGCAGAAGAGTCCCAGATGAAAGGGAAATTAGGAGAAGGAAGATTAATTATAAGACATGTGCATCCCAAATAAAACACAGACAGGAACGTTTTTGTTGTTGCTATTATTAGGAGAGAGAGTCTCTCTGATTTAGGGCAGCTTTTATTTCTGTGTTGGTAAAGCAAACCCATTTAAACCACTTGCCATGTTCAAACTTTATTTGTAGATTGTGGGTAGGTGATAAAGGCTGTGGAGCCTCTGATACTGCAAACGAAAAGGCCTTTGATCAAAGGTCTGATTTTACAGTAACTGGTGTCTGTGAGATGACAAAGCTGACAGGCTTACCTGGCTTTTAACTGCTGCAAGGCAAAATAGGGAATCCAAAATTCATGGCCACTCTGAAGGAAAGACTAGGACTGAGGAAAAAGAAACATTTCCTGTGGATAAAGACACCATAGTGAGCAAACTCACTCATGAGAAATGTTGCAATGAAATGATATTAACAAGCACTTGGGAATTCAAACAGAGCTGTGTGAACAGAAACATCCTATCTAGGAAGTACTGAGCATTTATCATTTAGATCAGTACCATTACCTGGCTTAAATATGGGGAACGTAACACAGTGAGAGATGGAGCGACACATCTGAGCTCACCTACAGTTAAGCAGCACAGAAAGACGTCCAAGTTCCCTACTTCTTCCCTAAGCTTCAGCCTAGACTTCTATCCAGCCAAGCAGACTCCCTCCTTTGCCAAAGATGAGCCCCAGTTCTTCCTGCATCATGCTCGGAGTGTGAGATTCCACGCTTCAACATCAGCCTGTGACAAATACAGCTCAAACTCTAACTTCATTACATGAATTTCAAAATGATACCAAATTCCATGAACTATCCCCTTGGGGCATTTAGTAATGAAATGCTTAAAAAAATGTATGAGTATAGGAACCTGGAGAAAAAAAAAAATAGTAATTGTGCATCCTTTCCAGAACACAGAAAACCCTTCACCTTGCACAGAAAGCTTTGTGTCCTTCATAAAATAAGGTGATATTGAACCCTTCATTTCTCAAGAGTCAGAGTTTGATACAAGTGCTGTCAGGAAGTCACCTCCACTGTCATTTGTGATGATTAACAATGCAGTAGAAGAGAAAAAAGACACAGCCTGCAATACCACTGCCCAAAAGAGGAGTTTGAGGTTCCCCCTTCACTAGGAACACTAAAAAGCTCTAATTTGTTAAGCTTCTGCTCATGGCCTGTGCATTGATTCCTTACTGACCAGTGCACCTTGCAGCCAAGCTAAGTACGAGGTCAAGAGTTAACCCCAGCATATAGCTCAGAGAAGTCCACATCTTTTTCAAAGAAAAGCTTGGCAAGACCCCACGCCAGTTCACAGCAAGTTCACACCAAAAAGTATAAATCTAACTAATAAACCCCATTTTCTATGGCTCTCTGTCTTGAGACAGCATTTTCCAAGCTTCTTCAGAGGTAGTGGATGCTCAAAATCTTCTGCCTCTGTGGTTTCTTTCCCATCTAATAAACATGAAGCTCCTGTTACAGGGACTCCCTCATTTCCCTGTCTCCAAGTTCCATGGACCCTCCAGAAGCATTGTACTTTTGAGAAGTCCTCTGTCTTCAAGTGTGGATTAACACAGTAAGGGGAGAGAGGAAAAAAGAATAAACCCTAGAGACTTAAGCACAAAGTGCCCTCTGTACAAACAAAACTGCTTCCATTGCAATTTATGGCTTCATTTACTGGAATTGCTTTAGTTCTTTTATTTTATTCCAGAGTAACTTCTCTTTTTCAGAAAAACTACGTATATTCTAGATCTGAAGCTAGTTATAGTGGATCTTCCCCTCTACACAGCAGCACATAGGCACATCAGCAGTATTACTCCACTGTACCTATAAACTTGGAAACACAGGCACTACCCCTTCCAGTTACAACTCTCACTTCTGTTAATCAACATTTTCAGTCTTTTAGGGAGATAAAACACCACATGACTTTGGTGAAAACCAGCAACATTTCTTGCAATGATGTTTAATAACGAGAGGTTTCTTCACGACAGTTGGCCTGGTCCCTAACTCTCACTCCTTATCTCAGGACAGTTTTAGGTGTGAAGTGGAAAACTGTTAAATCTTCAGAGATAATCAAGACCAGACACAGGTCTGTCCATGGGGGACTATCACGGAAATAAAGGAAGCAATATTTATCTTTCCCTCCCTACCCACACTCTACTTTTACAGAGAAATATCTAAACAGTTGAAGAGATGGGGTCACGAAGAAAATGCTGAGCCACTGAACTTGTACAGAACATAAAAGGCAGAGCTTCTTTGAAAATACAGCCTGTTGGGGTCCTGTGAAGAGGCTTTCTCACAGAGAAGAAAAAGAGAAGATCCATTTTGAAATTCAAAGGCAACCCAGTGCTCAATATGGACTGTAATACATGTTCTTTGGTCCTGCACTTCAGTCGCTGGTATTAAAGGCACTTCTTTTAGGACACATGTCAATCCTTTTGATCATTTATTCTTGATTTAGATGTTGAGCAGAAAATAAAGCAGCTCAGTTGTATGCCCATTAGAATGCTGCATAATATAGAGGAGATGAAATTAAAAGAGCATCCAGTCTGAGGCAAACAGGAAAAGAATCCCTCAATGTTGTCTGATTATTGAAAGCAACTCACAAGAGTATTGTGAAGGGGCTGTGCCGTCAGTAAATTCAAAGTAAATGAGGCTTCAGGAAGTACTGTAAACTCTAACACCAAAATCAGTGCTACCAGCTAAAGTGATTCTCAGATAAGAGAAATTCCCTGTCAAGCACTCTGCTGTGGGGTATACATGTTGCAGGTGGAGAGCAGACTTGAGCTCTTGTATAAGCGTGCCATGCCCCAAAGCCTTTATTCCATCTGCTCATGACATTGGCTCAAATCACACTTGATTCCAAGTAACCACATGGTGTGCAAGATATTTGCCGGGAAGCTAGGCTGTAGAGCACCTGCTGCTTACTGCTTCTATCAGTCCCTCAGTGCTGAAGCAAGAGAAGTTTGCTCTGGATGTTAGTACAGAACACACCAGTATGGCTATAGCTCACCGCTGAACATGTTTTAGCATATATGGATGGTAGGTAAATCCACAAGAACCTGACAAAGTAGATGTGTGAGCTACCATAGCACAAAGAAAGGCAAACGCCAAGCTAGTGAAGGTGCTTTCAAGTCAGTCCAACAGCCAGACACGAATGCCACCCAAACACCAGCAGATAGCTCCGTGCAGGTCTGAACAGGTACTCCAGGTGTTCCCAGGAGGTACGCGCTTTACCAAGGGAGCTGCAGCATTCCTCACCATCTCCGTCATGGAATGGTTTTGAGATGGGGTCCCAGAAGTCATTTACTTTGTAAGACATCTCCCCCAAAAGGTATTGGGAGTGATGGAAATGAATACAAGAGAAAATGAATCTTTTCATTAATTCAGAAAGATGCAATTCATGACTCATAGCAGCTTGTATAAATAAATGGCATAGTTTAAATCTTATTTGTAATTATACTTCAAGCCAGAGACTTTCAAAGCTGCACTGAGAATACGGCATCCAACTGTCTAATTTATTGTTATTTTAAGCAGGTACTGCATGCCCAAATTCCCTTGGCAGATTATATCTCATCTTAAGTGTTTTGCTAGAGGTAATTTTCCTGTGTTCATGACAGCAGCAATGAGAAGAAGGAAATCAAACAAAAGAGAACTCTGTCTATGCTGTCCAATTTCTTCCTCTCTCTGTGGCAAGTTGAGAGAGATTTGGGCACCACTGCAAAGGGGTACACTTGCTGTGCTCTGCTGGTTCGGCACTGAAGAGGAGCGGAAGTGAGGAAGGACCAAATGCAAGGAGATTGGCAAAGGAAACAAACCAGTAGGCTTTCTTTACCTGCCATGCATTTCTGAGGAATATGAAAAACTGCTTTTGGTGCTCCTGCTTGCTGTACTAACCCACCTGCTCATTACATTACAATAATTAACAAGGAACAAAAGCTCAGAAGCAGATCACCTTGAAAGTCCTGTTCATATCCCATCAGGCTCCTGCAGGGCACAGCCACAGCCTTAAATTTCATAAGGAACAAAAATGTATAGAAAACCAGGAGTTACTCAGGAGAAGAAGCATCTGTGCTAATGCATGGGTAAGTCTGGAACTCCGATCTGCCCAGGGAATGAGGCTTACCAACACCTTGCTTGAAATTCCCTGGCATGCTTGGAGGGACCTGCTAATCCTCAAAGAAATGGATGCAATGTGGAGGAACTGTCACAACGCTGGTTGTTCTTGAACAGTTACAGAACAAAACTGCTGAGAAGTGCCTATCACATATCTACTGGTTTTTACTACCTATTGCAGTGCTGCAGCATCACATGAAATCCCAGTCATGGAACAAACACATGGAAAATGAGCAGCCTCCCAGTATATATCCCTGTTAATGGCCACAAGGATCACAGTCACACCATTCACAACAGAGGTTGAGCTGGAAGAGTTACATCTGTCCTTTTCTCAAGACACTGTTTTAACCAAGAGAGATCTCCACACAAAGTACAATCAAATCCTGAAGCGCTGTATTTATTATAACTGTAAGATATAAATACCGGTATATATTCAGAACAAAATGTTCCCTAAATCAGTTTAACTCTTCATTTTTCTGCTGATAGAACATCTGGACTGCACCTCCCTCAATTAAGAAACTTGCCTTTCATGCCAACTCAAATCCCCATGCAGTACCTTTGATTTTAGTTTCATCTGCTCAATTTGCTCCCATTTTGTGATGGAACAGACACAGAGGAATCAGAGTTGCTCCATGCACACTAAAACTGGACCCAAACACAGCAGGTTTTCCTTCTGTGCTCAGAAACATGACCAGTAGTTTGACTTTCATGCGACCATTATTTAAAAAGGCACACATAACCCTACCCAATCTTGAACTGACTTCAAATCTCTTTCTTTACTTGCCTGCATTCCTGCCAAGTGTATGCTACAGGTAAGAAAATACAACTTGCTTTCTGAAATGGCACACACTAAGAGAAGTCTCTTGCAATCATTTTTAAATGACCTGTAATTTCAGAGAACACCAGTGATTCATCTCCTTGTATGTGAGGTCATGAACTGCTGTTCCCCATCTTCTGATGCTCTAAGGACCCAGGGGAGGACTGCAGATACTCAGATGTTAGAAGATGTAAGTGTTAGAAATGGCAAAGACATTTGTCAAATGCAAATACACTTCGTCCTACTCCTACCTTCTTTTTAGCATAATTTCCTACATTTTATATTGCATTAATGCCACTTTTTGGGGCTGAGGAGAAAATTCACCTCAGGCAAAGCACCCTAGGATACTGCAAAAAGAAAAGACTGCATAAAACATCTATAGACAGAAGGATCCTGCTGTGTGCTAGAGGCATAATAGATCTCCATTCAGCTAAATTGTGCAATAGAGAAGTGGAGAAAAACTGCAGAAACTGCTTTGAAAACAAAAACAAACCCGTTTTCCTGGAGCCATCAGCAGGTCTGCTTGTCAGATCAGCTGCCTTGTTTTGTGTGTGCTCCATTCAGATGTAAAGAAATTCCTGAAGAAAACTGCTAGTACTGCTACTTACACCCTTCACATGCGCAGCTGGAGTGAGATTTCTGCTGTGGTGGAGCAACAGCATCAACAAAACAGTTTAAACCTAATGGCAAGAGCTACTTAAACACATATGCAAAAGATTTCTTCATTCCCTGCTATATGAACCGTGGAATTTTGACATTCTTTTTACAGCAAGGTTTAGGGAAATGGGCTAATTCAGGGTAAAGATTATGAGCTTGAAAGTAGAACTGAAGGAAGGAGGTTAACAAACATAGATGGAGTCACAAGAACCTTCCCCACTTCAGTAAGGAAAGCAGAAGCTCCACAGAAGGCAAATCTTGGAGCCACCAGCAGACATCTGTCATGTTTCAGGTTCCCACCTGACAACAGCACACACATGGCCTCATGTGTTTTGAAGAAGCACTTCCAGAATCAGTGCTAACTTTTGAACAAGTAGGATTTAAGAACTGCCATCTCCTGATTGTTTATCCTTGTGAGATTTGGCACTCTCCTTAAAACAGCTGTTGCTGCAGTTACTGAATCCTTTAACCTTATGGTTGTGCAGAAAATCCCCAAAACACACAAAACTCCAGGCTCCAAACCCAGAATACAAGTCAATCACACACAAAAAATGACTCATATTTCTAAGTTGCATGACAAATGCAAAAGGCCCTACTTGTTATGGTGGCGATTACTCACAGTAGGGTGAAAGTTTCCATCACACACCACCAGCACCCTTTGATTTAGTTTTTGCAAACAATCATGATGATTCCTCCTACAAAAAGCTTGCTCAGACAAAAGATAACAAGGACACATAAGGACAATGCAAGGAAACAACACATCCCTCTGACAGGTATCCTCATAGGACAAGATGTAAAGGCCTCAAGTTGTACCAGGGAAGGTTTAGATTGGATATTAGGCAAAATGTCTGGACTAAAGGGCTGTCAAGCCTTGGAACAGGTTGCCCAGGGCAGTGGTGGAGTCACCATCCCTAAAGCCATTTAACAGATGTGTAGATGTGGTGCTGAGGGACATGGTTTAGTGGTAGCCTTGGCAGTACCAGGGTAACAGTTGAACTCAATGATTTTAATGGTCTTTTCCAACCTAAACAATGTGATGACTCTATCCTGACCAACTCAACACCCTCTTTTTCGTGTAACTGCCATGAAACAACCCCTGCACCTCTAAAGCTAGGAATAACTAAAATCCTCTGCCTGTTGCTTTGCTATCAAAATACTACTATGGCCACCTGGCCTTGTAAAGGACAAATTACATGGCTGCGGTTCTACCCGCACAAGAATTTAATTGCTGTATCTTTCTTATCTGATCAGCAGTGTCCCAATTCTTTGCTTATCAGCTGCTGATTCCCACCTCCCTGCCCTGCCCTGGTTACTGCTGCTTCCCAAGTCACCTGCCAAAGCAACCACTTGTGTGGCCATGGCCACAGTTAGAGGGGAGCAAAAGCACCTGCAAAGGAAAGAGGAGGAAAAAGGGAATGGGATTTTCCTTCACTTTCTCCTCCCTGCAGAAAACAATGACTAATTTGCCTTATAAGACAAAATTAACAATGCTAATACCTGCAAATAGTCAGCTAAGCCTTCAGAAATGACCAGACCCATTATTTCAGCAGCAGCATGTCCTAATCCTCACCTCCACTGCTCCAGATAGATACAGACTAGCTCTAGAGCCTCCTAAAGTGCTTTGAGTTGCATCTATTTCCTCTTTGAGTCCTTCATACTGAGACACTGAATTACATCATCAATTTCTACAAAGTAGAGGTATTTAAATGCCATCCATCATCATGGTTTTACTTAAAACCCCTTTCCCTCATTATCCCTTTCACACAGTTCACTCTCAGCATAACACAGGGAAAGCTTCATGTTTTAACACACACTAACAATCAGCTGCAAGCAAGAGGTGTGAAAGGGAATTAGGCATGCAAGTGAACTCATTCACAAATGAACTGCCTCTTCATTTGCAGGAGCATGCTGCTTTGCCACACTGGAAAGGCCTTGCCAAACAGGAGGCAGAGAGGGAAGCATCAGTGTGGTTCCAGCAGCTTGAAAACAACTGGAGTGGGTAAATGAAAAGATACTTTTGCTTCTAGGTTGGATGGGGCTTGGAGCAAGCTGGTCTAGTGGAAGGTGTTGGAACTGGGTGAGCTTTAAGGTCCTTCCAACCCAAACCATTCTATGATTCTATGAGAAGCTGTTTCAGGATCGACCTCTTCTAGTTGCTGTTCTGTTTCCAAATTCAAGGCAGACATCAGCATCCTCCCCAACACTATGATATTAACAATGAACAACTAACCTACAGACCACTGGGAGTACTGGTGATTTGTGAGGAGTTCTTACATGCTGGACAATCCTGCTATGCAAGGTGGGAAAGCAGAGCTAGAGAGGAGCACGCAGCAGGTCTGCAGGGTGGTCACAGGGTGGAACATGGGCTCTCTGTGTCTCTCACATGCTCCTGCTGAAATCCCCTTACACAATCGAGCTTTCTCCCTGTCTGCTTTCTCTATGCTGTCCTGCTTCCAGCATCACTTACAGGGATGTAGCGGGGTTAAAGAGCACGGGGACTCTTGCAATAGGATGCACTCTTGTGGACCTTAGGACTCTGCAGTAATAGGAACAGCAATACTTCAGGGCACTGTCCAAAACCTGGCTTGAACTCTCTAGTCCTCCTTCCATTTATCCTTTCTAACACAGGAAAATAAAGTAGTAAAATCTTTAAATCAGTCATACAGAATAAACACTCTGCAACTGCCCTGTATTCTCACTAACATGAAGATACTTCAGCCAGGCTATGTTCTATGTAAGCTTCACGTTATTCAACTTTGATCAAGATATGACTATCATTTCCTTCCTGAAACTTTTCAACCCAAAATAAACATTCCTCCTTCACAATCCAACATTTTTCCACAAAGCCACTACTAACATTTCACAGCACATTTCAAAAATAAATGCTTGCAGCCTATCAAGTAAAGCTTTTAGCTTAAATTACACACTATTCTTTCATAAAATTACAGAACGTGGTTTTGCCTTCTTGCTGTAGCAGAGACTGCACAGAAGTGCACTGCAGTCCTGCTGCACCACATCTGCAGCCTGCAAGCTGCTTAGGCCCCATTGTCTGCTTCACACTAAACAACACAGAACCCCATTAATTTGATCAGAAGCAGAGATAACAATATTGGGTCAGCCTTACTTGTTGCAGGCTGCCAACTGAAGGGTGATCCTATCATACATAGGGAAAAGCCAGGGGAAGAATAGTTGCACACAGGTATGGCAAAGGTGACCCATAAGCAGAGAGCTCCAGTCCCCCAGCAGACAGTGTTGTTACCTGTCTGCACAGAACACAGCACAAGTGTCCTTAACTGCAATTCCTAACTGCAAATGGAAATAATACATTGTTATTCAGGTTAGATATAAGGCAGAAGCTCTTCCCTGTGAGGGTGATGAGGCCCTGGCACAGGTTGCCCAGAGAAGTGGTAAATGCCCCATTCCTGGCAGTGTTCAAGGCCAAGTTGCACAGGGCTTGGAGCAAGCTGCTCTAGTGGAAGGTGTCCCTGCCCATGGCATGGGTTTGGAACTGGATGAGCTTTATGGTCCCTTCCAACCTAAACCATTCTATGATTAGTGTATAACCAAAAAGTCTTCTCCAGACATTTAAGATTTGTTTAAGAAGCACCCATGACTACTTTAGTAAACAGCAGAACTCCACTATGTTTTAGAGCTGAGCAGGAAAGTATAAAGATCTGGAGCTTAAAGTATCTTTGTACTTCAAGACCAACCTCCATCCACTGGTTACATCATAAGCCCTTGAAGATCTGAATAGTTCAGTTAATTGCATTTACTTGTCATGTCCTCTTACTTGAGAAATCCATCTAAGGCTGTGCGCATAGAAACAGTTATAACAACAACAGGGGATACCCAGCGGATAAAACTGATGTAAAAAGCAGACAACAAAGAATTAGGTTTAATTTCTCAGGGGTCCTAAAACAAAACAAACAAAACAAGCCCAACAAAACAGCACCGTGATGAAAACCAGATGAAAGTGCAACTCAGATCCATCTCTCCTTTCATCTCAGCATTTCAATTTTTCAGACTTTATAATAAATGATATGTTCTTTCAGTTTATGACATGACATAATTAAACAGATGGCCTAAAGTGAGAGACTGGGTGCTAGCTGAAACTCTGAGCATGTAGCTTTGATTTCAAACCAGCCAAAGGCTCACAGCAATATCTGACCCTTCCACCAGCTGACAGGACTTCAACAACAGAGCATGTTATTTGGGAGATTCTTGGACTTTGCATGGCAAACAGAATTTTTCCTGCAGCAGCTCTTGAGCTCACATTTTGAGGTGTCCTAGAAGGGCTCCTGGTTCTCCAGCCTGGCTCTCCTCTGAACAGTTACACAGCTGCTGAACAACACAAACTTCTCTGTACAGCGAACACACAACCCAGACACCTTCTTCACATATCCAGGAGGCAGCTCTGCACCCCAGCACCCTGCTCACCACCTCTGCCTTGTCAGTGTTCTCTGTCACAGCACAGCAAACCTCTGCTCCATCCTCCCTGAGGGGCAAACGCCTCCACTGAGGCTCAACAAAGACCATGCTGAGGAGTTTAAACATTCAAAATTCCAGCTCAGAAACAGAGAGCTGACAGTGGCCAACATTTCTAAGGGCAAAATTACAGCATGTGGGAATTACAGATCTGCAAAGAAACCAGCAATCTGTGAGGAATTCAAGTCACCAGGAGCGACAAATAAGGACCACAATGCTAACAGAATTAGACACAGCCTCCTTTTAACCTTAGCTCTATTTTTAAGGGGGTTTTATTTTAAAAAAAGTTTTGTATTTGTTTTGTTGTTAAAGTTTCCATGAAACTGGGCTGAGAGCAACTCTGTAGGAATGAAGTTTCCCCATAATTTACTCTCATTACCTTAGGATGTGTGAAATGAGGCCCATCCCTGTACAAGGAGGTTTCTTTCAGGTGTTGAACAGTGACAGCAACCCAGCAAAGATAAAACTCAGCAGCAACATCAGAATATCCATACCCTTTGCAAATAGGCCCCTTGACTAGAGGCTGTCTACTGTAGGCTTGGGTGTTTTTTGAGGTTCCCTTGCATTCTTCAGTCTTCTCTCCAGCTGGGGAGACTGCTAGAGAGTGAATGGCCAGCTCTCTCCCAGTGTGACTCCTGCTTATCTGCATGCCAATAGGCTGAACTATGGAAACACAAACAAGAACCTAGCCAATTCCCACCCCCCTCCAATCAATAACAGTAAAGTCACACAACAGCATCTTTAAAGCCATGCCTGTTCTATTTGATAATTACTCTAACAGCCCATCTAAGCATGGCTTCTCAGCCCCGGTTTCCAAAGGAGAAACCAAAACCTGAAGGATGAGGAGGAAACAGCTCATCTGCTGAATACAATGTTCGGAAATGTGAGGTGAACATTCCTCACCAAAGCAAGATGAATGATCCCACCCGAGCACAAAGAATGGGTTCATATTTCATATATTTTCCATTGTTTGAGCTTGCTTGCATGTTAGTAACTACATTTAGCAAACACCAACAAGAGACATTTAGTAGCTAAAAGATTAATGTTCCTAACAGTGCAATGGCACAAGCAGCAAGGCAGGCTGCACCCTGTTCAGTTCCACCAACGTTCTCCACTTCTGACACAGAGACCCACCCTTCCATGGGCACAGTTATCTCTAACACCCACCAGTGAGATGTGCAACAGCCACTGCTCAAATGAAAACATCACATGAAAGCTATTCACAATGAGGGAGTAGCAGCACTGAACCCCAAAGGCAGCCAAGTGCCCCAGTTAGCTGCTTACTCCAAGTAGGGCTCCCAGGAAGCTCCACTACACAATGCTGTTTGAATGATTTTCAATGACAGAAAAGAGTCAATAAGAAGCCAGGATGGAACCAAAGAATTCTGGATTGAAACAAGTGAATACTTTGAAGTGTAAAATATTTAAATGAGATGGCTTCATGACATAAAGAAATGTCTTGGTTTCAAATTTTCACATTGGAAAAGGGTTGGTTTGACTCCAAGGGGCTCATCAGACAGTGAAAAGCATGGTAAAAGGGCTTGTGCAGGGTAGGCAGACCCGGCAAGCCTCAGAGCCCAGTGGCTGTTTCACACTTGATCTTCACTTTCTTGATCCTCCTGAATGTGCAGCTGCTGGGGCACATGTGCCTGGCACACAGCATCCCACCTAGGGAAAGGGCGGCAGCACCCCTGTACCCCAGAGAAGGCACAATGCCCAGAAAATCTGAACAGAAACAGCAAAAGAGGCTTTACCAAACTACAGTGGGTTTCAAATAGAAGTCTGCAGTGTTCCACAAGGGACTGCTACAGTCTTGAAAGAGCCAGCATCCTCCCAGTTATCACTTGGCACCAATCACTGGTGAGCTGTGTTGCTGCCTTGTCTTTATGGATTTAACAGAAACCTCATAATACTGCCTGTTCTAGTTTTCACTACAAAGCACTCTTCAACTGGACCCTGTAAAAATATAATGCAGTATTTATGGACAAAGCCAAGCTTTAGGAGACTAGCAAAGTATTAAGTGTCCTTAAAACCATTAATGGAGATAGGAGGAACAGGGAACACTTCTCAGTGCAGGCTGCTGGCACACGAGGTCCCAGCAGCAGCCAGCAATGGCAGGTGCACATGAAGAGGTCTGTGTGCAGATTCCAGAGGGACAGCTTTCTAACAGAGCAGCTCTTCTCCACTGGGGCTGGTGTCACTCTTTAATTTGATTACACACAATGAGAGCCTGGGGGAGGGACAGAAGGAAAGGAAAATAAAAGAGTGATGACAAACTAAGCATCCATGCTGAACTTACAGGGCGCGTGCAGCTGCAGTCTTAGCAGCAGGGGTACCGAGCAGTGGTCCACAGCAAAATTACAGGGGGATCAGACAGCTGACAAGGCATGATCCTTTGGTAGACAAGAAATTACTTGCTTTTCCCTCAGCAAACCACATGCCACATAGCAATTTTGACTGGAAAACTGCTATCCCAGATTTAAAGGGAAACTAATCCATTAAAAGAAATCCATCACAGAGCGGGAGGGCCTGACTCTGTGTGAACACAGCACCACACACACAGACTGATGCTCCATCCGTAACTCTCACAGTTACCAAGTCTTTCACCACCCATCTTTTTAAGAGTTGCTGAGAGACTCTTTTCTAACCGTAACATGCAACCTAAAAGTACCAAAGTGTGCTCATGCTTCCCTCCAGCCTTGAAATCTTAGAGAGGGATTATACCTTTAAAAGACAGAACAACCCAGTCCCTATTGCATTCTGGGTTGAAAGGGGAAAATAGAAACACAAAACCAACACCAGAGTCTAGGATCGGGTCCTCCAGACTAAGCCCAAGAATATCACTAAAGTATAAAATTGCTCTTGTTGAGATATTTAGGTGCAATTTTTTTTAAGCCTACCTTAAATTTGCCATGGCACTACCTGCCGGAGTCTAAATTATACTTGCAAAATTCTAGATACTAATATTGCAAGTGTATAATTAGAAAGGAGAGGATACAGTTTAGAAACACCATACTTATAAACCTATTTCTTTAAAAATAGAAACTTTCTGCATGACTAAGACCTGTATTTTAGGTCTCCTGTCTTTACGCCTCAATACTAGCAGAGGCAACTGGAGCCCACATGTTCTAATAGAAGCTGCAGACAGGGATCTTCTATATTATGTCAATGGCATTGATAAAAAAAATAAAGAAAACTCAAACCTTACTCCTGCAGAACAGAAGAAACCCCTGAAAACAGCAAAACAGTAGAAAACTTGTGCTGCTAATAGATGTTCTTACCAGCTTCCTTCACTGCAGCCAAACTTATGCAAGCAAAAAGTTCTGTGTGTTTTAATCTACCAAGGAAACTGAAGCACTGAAAATACTGGGTCTGCCAGGCACAAGCATGATTAATGCCATTTACAAACAGCTTCATTATCAGATCAGTGATTTAAATCTACTAACAAGTGATGTCCACAGCATGACTGATCCTAACTGTTGCTCTCTGACAGTCTCTGCTGAGAACTGGGGCTGAATGCTCACAACTATGGAGACAAACCGAACTCTCCTGCTGCTGGGCTTGTCCTGTATACACAGATCTCTTGCTATAGATCGCAATCGTATAGGAAACCTCTCCCATTCATCATCGATGCAGCTTGTACTTCAGCAGTATAAAGTCTTTGAGTGAATACATCCAAATATCATCAGGTTACAAAGTCCAGTAATTCCTAAACAGTGATGAACATATTTCCTATTCACATTGAAAATGTGAAGGGATGGTATAATACAGCTTGACTAAGTATTCTGGTCAAGGTTAAATCCCAATTCAGACTGTATTGCATGTCCTTACAGAGAAAAACCTCTATCCAGCCACTCACAGAACTCATGCTTTTACTCAAACATCAGCTCTACTGCTAATTTATTCTTGTTAAGTGGCTTTCAGCAATGCAAGCGATTTAAATGTACACTTGTGAGGCAAATGTAAGCTTGCAATGATGTACCAAGTTTGACATTTATACTGTTACTGTTATTTTTGAGCATAGTATGACTACAGAAGCATTACTAATTTTAAGTCACTTCCAAATGAGAATACAGAGAAAAAGTGATTTACTTCTCTCGTCCTTAGCTATTGTTGCAATCTGTCTTGCTCCACAGTCCAAAACCGTGATAATTTTGGTAGCTTTATAATAACTTAAAGTACACCCACTGTGCCTTAAATAGCTACCAAAAATATGCTTTAATAGCAGATTCATCTTTGCACACCTTTAAGGACAAACCTAATTTTAACCCTACTTGGAAAAGCATTTTAGCTTCCAAGAGCTTTACTGAAGCATGGTATGAGACAAAGAACCTCTGGAAGGGCATTCACTATACGGTGACTCAACGTGTGTTTTCTCTAGAAATATACTCCATGAAACACAGTTGTTCTCCCTGCACAGCATCTGTAGCTTCTGAAACTGCCAGGTTCAGAAAGAAGCCCACTTCTCCAGTGCCCCCAACACCAGCAACTTAAGTACAAGCCAAACTTGGTTACATAGGGAAAGATCTGCCCCATTTCATGGATGCTAAAGCACATACAAAACAGTGCACTAGCTTCCAAAACTGGTCAAAGAGTACAAAACAGCTGCAGTATCCATTTATGCCAAGCTGGAATTTGCCAATGTATAAGAGGTGCAAATAATGCCTACATAGAAATATATGTTTTCTGATGGAAATACCACACTGCTCTAAGTTTTAGTAGTTCTACCAAGACCCTGCTATAAAAAAAAACAGACAACAGAAGAAACCTCATTAATTTTATTGCTTTTCTGGCACTTCTGTGGAGATGAAAGTACACCATGGAGCTGGCAAACACACAGCAGTGTGGACTAGGGAAGCATTGCGAACAGCTTGTGAGCATCCAGAACCTGCATACATATAAAAAGTAGATTAAATGAACACAGGGAGAAATGAAATAAAGGTAGTTATTAGCTTGACAGCTAGGAAATGCTGCTGGGGAGAAAGCAGGGAGGAAAGGGCAGAGATACACTCACTGTGTGGAGTACAAGTGGGCAAGTGCCCAACCTTTAGCCAGAATCAACACCCAACAAGCCCACATTCGGATGAGTGACCCAAGGGGTTTTGTTAGGGTTTGTTCAATTGTCTGTGCAGTCTGTGTGCAAGCACAGATGAACACAACTGCTGTGATTCCTCTCATGTAGAGAAAAAAGTTCTCTCCCTTGCTTTAATACCAGTTGGGAATAAAACACACTTTTTACTGTAGCTTAATTGATCATCCAAAGCCCAGGAACCTCAGCACACTGTTGTTCTAAGTCAAAAATCAATGACTAGAAACGAGCACCTTAGTAATTTCCATGTCTTGTTATAGGAGAGTCATAATGGAGAGATCAATGTTTGCCCCTCCAAGCACTCTTACTCAAGTAACTCAAGTAAACAAGTACCTTGTTTGGCTCTGCGGAGAAAAGGAGTCTCATCTCCTAACACTATCGTATCACGTTGCTTTTGGTCCTTTCCTCCTTCTCTTCCCCAAGACCCAACCCATCAAGGAAAGATCCAACACATCCAAGACAGAGCTGCTCAGGAGCTGTCAGTTTTAATCAGAGCACTGTAGCTGTCAGTCATCAGGGGCCCTTGGGCATTTGGCTTCCGGAATATATTGTTATCCTGAAATCAGGCAGCATTTCTGGCTGCTAGACGGAAATAACAACATTATTACAAATGTTTTAATATTAGCATAGCTGTAGCAGTATTTGAGTCCTAATAGCCTAACACACAAACACATGCAACCACTCTTTATGAGCCACATTGGTGCATTAGAAACCATTTTTCCTTATTGCACAGTTTGTTTCTTCACTTACACAGTATTTATTAACAGTGTTGCAATTCTGCATTAATTATTATTTAGCAGCGACAGCATGCTTGGAACTGCACAAAATTAGTCCCTGCCCCAAAGTGCTTAAGTTGCCCTGATTCCGTGTCCCATAACCAACATTTCATACACCAACCTGTTTGATTACTACAGCCTGGTTAATAGTGCAACTTGGTCAGCTAATGTCACATCAAATTATTAAATCCGTGCTGCTTAGGACAGCCAAGCTGCAGTGGGTCCAGCTGGGATAAAGCTCAAAAGTATAAGCCTGTTGGAGAAAACCATCCAACACTAAACCATGGAATGGTTTGGATTTGAAGGAACCTTAAAGCTCATCCAGTTTCAACCCCCTGCCACCCGCAGGGACACCTTCCACTAGAGCAGGTTGCTCCAAGTCCTGTTCATCCTGGCCTTGAACACTGCCAGGAATGGGCATCCATGCCTAGAATGCAAAGGCAATGTGAAAATGTGAATAAATGAAACTCCCACTGACGAGTATAGAGCAAAAGCACAGAGTGGTTTGTAAACCTCCCAAACCTCACAGCTGGTAGCAAAACTGCGCTAAAGCAAATATATGCCAGTATAAATGCAAAACATTCAAGGTCATCACTACCACACAGGCACAAATCATGAAATACAGAGATGACACACAGAGAGAAGGGAAAATTGCAAATCAACAAGGGAAGACATCCCCTCCTTTCAGATCTGGACTGCTTTGTTGGCATACTCTTCCCAAAGGATCACTTCTCTGAAATGAAAATATGCAGACAGAGGAGATCATCAAATCATAGGACAGCCATATCAACCAAAGTTAACCTTTGGGTACTTTCAATTCAAGACCTACTCGCTTCACACAGACAGAAATCATGTTGACTCTGTCAGTTCACCCACCCTTCTCGTTTTGCATGTTGCCAAGAACACAAGGCTGACAGTCTAAGACAATAATGACATGTTTCTAACACAAATAAAATGGGAGGCTATGAAACAAATAATTGTGTTGTTATTTACATAATTATTGGCAGAAGCCTGAACAAGGAGTAAACCAGATTACTGCTGTTTTGGTTCAATGCAGCCTTAAAACAAAAAAAGACACAACCCTCACATGCCAAGGCTGAAGGGATTTTCCTTCCAGCATGTGGTTCTCTCATTCTGCCAGCCAAGCTCCAAGCTGCTCCTGAAGCTTTCCTCCATAAAAACCCTGATCTTTTCCCTCTGTTGTCTGCTCAGTCACCGCAGTTGCTGACCATCAGAAGACACATAGGAAAGGTATTAAGAAAAGCAAGCCTATAGGAGATTATGCCTATATCACCTGTTACAGGTGATAATACTGTTCAACAACATAACCCTGGTATGTTCACGTTGCTGACGCCTGAATTTAAGTCTGGCAAGGCATAAAACTGAATTTTTCTTTTGCATTTCCCTCCCTTCTCTTCAGCTGGAACTGCTCTCTGATTTCAGTTGTGGCAGATCAACATCTTTATGGCGAAAGATGATTTATTGCCTCAAAACCAGAAGTACAGAACAGGTGGGAGCAGCAACACTGTTCTCATGACAATGCTTCATCAATGTCTAGAAGGATCAATCTGACAGAAGAACTCAATGCCTTGTTTTATGTTGAGAGATAACATGGTGGTTCCCAGCCACATCTTGTGTGGAGGAAACACAGCATGAGGAAGAGTGAAAAGAGACCACCAGAAGGTCCTGAACAGCTCATTCTAGAGCTTTCCAACATAAACCTTCAGCCACTCCTGACTGGCAACAGGTCCAAAGGAATGACCTCAGAAGTGAAGGCTTCTACATCCCTTCAGCCATCCAGGATCCCTTACGTTCTCACTCTCCTGATTATTTATGCTGTTGTAAAACCAGAAGCATGGAAATTGCTGTTCCCTCCCTTTCACTTCCTTTCCCTGCAACCCTACAGAAATAGCTGGGTTACATAAGACAGAAACACCCACAAAATAACAATGAAAACAGATGTGTCAAAAACCAGAAAAACAAATGTGCGGGTGCCTACTATGTGTGCCAGTTCTAAGTAAAGTGCTCATCCAGGTTACAAACAGCACAGTGAACTACTGTAATAGTCCCAGACCCAAAGTGAGAGTCTGGTAGTTAAAGAGCTCAGACCTAAGGGTTTGGTGGTTTGGGGTTTTATATTCCCTATACCTGTCTCAGAACTTCAAAGCAGTTCACAAAAAATGCAGTTTTCAAGAAAGGTCCATGCTATGTTCTGTACCCACACTTCTCTGGAAACCACCAGGAGTTGTTCACCTCACCTGTACCTGTCTGGGCTCTGAGCCCAAGCCCATTTTCTTCAAGTCCTATTAACTTCCATGGCCCCTTAGGCACTTCACAGGTCCTCTGTAGGACTCATTTTGAACATACATTATTTTTTCCTAGAACACTCATCACCCTACATCCACAGTGCCAGTTTCCACAAAGCTCTCTCAACCAGCAGAAAGGTGTCATCCTCTATCATCCACTTCCAACAGACATCTTCCTGCTTTCTCCTATGATGCCCATCATGTTTGGTAGATCCTGTCTGCAAATACTTGCTGAAAGCTACCACTGTCTTCCCTCAAATCCCTCCTCACTCTTTGGTGAATGTGACTACCAAATAATTCATATCTGCTAATCTCCTAGGGCCCCTTACACTAACCAGTACAGTCTCTTGTCTCCTTCAGACTCTCACATCCATGGCCTGCAGCTGTCTGATATCTCTTGATACACATGGATTCCAAGTACCTTGGGTGCACCATCTGATTCAGTAGAAGCTGCACAATAACGTCTTGGTCTATAATATATGTAAAGCAATGTTGATGCAAACAAAGAACCCAGCAGAGTTCTGAGTTCCAAATTTCCTAATTTTTATCTGCAAGATAAAACTACATTCCTACTGAATCTCTTCAATAGGTACTGTGAAGCTTGATTAACAGTTACAAGGAACCACAAGACCTTTATGAACTGCATTTGATTCCAATCACAAGTTCCTCAGCGCTTGAAAGCCCAAGCAATGGGCTTTCATATTACAGGCAAAGTCTCCAGCTTTTAACAACATCTGCAGAACTTAGTAGGCCATCATGCTACCTGATCAGCAGCTTGTTTCTGATGTACAGCAAATAAGCAATAAGGAATACATGTATAATAAATAGGAACAACTAAAACCAAGTTGACTGATGGAACTTAACCCTATTACAGTTTGGAATTGTATTTGAAAACTCCTGAAGGAATGATTACAGAATTCCAGAGAAGCTTTTCCACACATCTTCTGATACTGAGTCTCAGAGATGAAGGGACTAGTAAGATCATCACATTATTCTTAAGAACATACTCAATATTTATAAGGTTCTTAACTCTATGTAATAAAAGCCGCATTCACTGACTGTGATGACTTGGATGCTTTGGGGAAAAAATTAATCAACATGCATGAAAGAGGATCTCAGAGTCAAACAGGAAAATCTGCACATAATAACAAAGATAGTTACTATCTGGCAAACCTACATCACAAGGAAGAAAGAATACTATGATTAAACATAATAAGAATTCACTTGAAATGTAAAATACTCTGGAACAAATCCTGCCAACTCGCATAAGAACTGGCAAACAGGAAGCAGCTGACTGTGCAATAGAAACCATCACACAGGGAAAACACAATGTTAGAGAAATAGATGTTCCTACACAGTCCTTGTCACTGTGCTCCAGAAGACTTTGTGCCACCTGCTTTGGAAGTGCATGAGGTTCCATCCTTGTGGCTTCTGCTCACAATGGAGGACTTCTTGAGTTCTGAGGCAGTAACAGGTACCTACTGTCCAAACAAAACACTGCGTACCACTGAAGATCCTCACACACATGAGCTGGTGGCACTGCTGGCTCAAGGAGGTTCTGCCAATATTCTGTTCTAATGTTTTCCAGCATTACTCTCCTTCCACAGCTGAGTCCTAGGTTGAAATTAGCTCAACAGGAGACAAATAATACAGAGCTTGCACTGCCACTTAATGGTTTCCTCCCTGAAACTATAAGCACTGAGTATAGTCTTTTTACAATGGGGGTATGAGATGCTCCCTATTCCCATTACATATGTGAGATCTCAGACTGCATGAAGATAGCTCAGTATGAAATGTGCTATGAGGCAATATATTACTATCACAAATGTGAGCACACAGGTAAAAAGAAGCATTTTTGGCTTATAACCTCCTGAATATCTTTGCAGTGGAGAGCTAGTGATGAACCTTTCCTAACCCTTCAGTTATAGCTTGTACTACATAGTTTTAAACTAGACTTTCAACTTTCAATAATCATTTGCATGTATGTATCTTCAAAGAATGGAATTTGATTTGCAACTATGTGTTGTAATGAGAGGCTAATTAACACAAATATGGTTATTAGCAAGTTACAGACACTTACAGGACAAACACAGCAGAGCAAAGCCTATGGCAGACTGCATCACAGGAGGAGAGAACCTCAAGGATGAACTAATACCAGCCAGGACTCTGCCACTAACTATATTACCACAGGCAAATCGCCGACACTCCACAACTCTGTTTCCCCTTCTGGAGTGGCATAGTAAGACTCTCTTACTTTGCTGGGTAGTCCTCCATCTTAATTAAATCATTACCATTAAATTAAAGACACTCCAGCAGTGCCAGGAAGTAGCGTCTGAATTAGAAGGTGGAGGTGACACCCTGATGAAGCAAGACTATTTTCATCGTCAACAGCAGGCATAGTAAAAGGTCATCCATGGCATAATTGTGAAACCACATTCCAAGCTTCTGAAGGCAAGATGACTTTTCCCAAAACTTCATTAAGGAAGAAGATATGTCCCAGCATCACCAGATGGCTGAACTGCTGTTGTTTCACAGGTAATCTACAATGTATGATGGTTTCATTACTGCTACTTTTCCTTACTCTTGGCTTTCCTAATAGCAGAAAAATATCAAAGCTCTTGAAAGAATGCTTTTTCCACAGGCAACTGTTTTCAGTATGATCAAAGACCTATTAAGAAAATTGCAGAGGATCATTTCCCTTCAAGTTGGTAATATTCAGCACAGAGTTTTCAATCTTTTCTTTATAAGAGCCACAGTAAAGGCACTCCCACTTTTTGTTTGGGACAGCTTCTCCCAAATAAGTAAAATAGATATTTTAACATTCTTCATACACACTGGGAATTTCCAGCTCTGCGTAAAGATAAGGACAATATTGAAACACCCACTACTCCTGTGCAGGCTTTTAACTTTTAAAGTATTGGAAGAAACTTATTTTTAAGCCATAAGAAGCAGGCCAGTCCTCAGTGGAGGCCCAGTTTCATCACTGTGTTCCCAAAGGAGCTGCAAGTTAATGTATGTCAGGCGTGAAGCTGTGTATGTCCTGTATCTCAGAAACTGCACTCCAGTTCTGTCCAGATACCAAAAGGCACAACCCATCCTAAACTCATTTAGTCCACACAGGAAAGTCCTTAAATCAATACTAAGCAAACTTGGGTTTTGCATCTGAGAAAAGATTATCCAAGAACAACTCATTACATACAATGTCTTTGTATCCAGAGTATATACACTGAAATATGCCACACTTACTGTTCACTTTTAGCAAAAACATTTGCTTTTTACTTTTAGGAGCAAGATGTGTTATAGGAGAGGTCAGCCTGCTTCTTTCTATTACATAAGATCTCCTGTGTGACTGGATGCATGTTACCTGACTTGCATGTGCTTATGCTAGAAAATAGTGGCAGATACCCACAGAATTACACTTGCAACAAAGAAACTCCATGTATGTGCTTTCTTTTCTAGTGACTAAATATATACTAAATATCTACTTGCATATACTACTTACATACATACAATAAATGTATACTTGCCCTTTTTATACTTGTATTTCTGACCATGAAAACTAAAATGATTGCAACTAAGCTTTCAAGTGAGATAGAAGCTATACTTGTAGTATTGTGCCCATACAACTAGATGCTCTGTTTGTTTATGTCCATCTGTCAGCTGCCTGCTCATCACTTCTGAGTCCACTGACCTGCTTTTGACTCAGTTTGACCGCAGGAAGAAGTCCCCAAGCTCCAAACAACTTCATTTAAAAAAATAAATAAATACCAAAAAATGGTTGGGTAGAGGAAAGACACTTGAAAGACAAGAAGAGTAAGGTTAATGACAGAGGTCAGCTCTTATTTGACGTCAGAGAACCCACAGGATTGATCACCCTAGAGACACAAATCCTCAGGGACCAGTTTTCATTGGTGCTGCTGCTCCTCTAACACTTGTTTCAAACAGAGCTGAAACCCAAAATGAATTCCAGTTCTCACAACACTTCACTGGCCTTAGGTAAATCATAACTTCTAATGCTACTTGCCCTGCCATAACGTGGGTAGTGTTAAACTCCCTTATTGGAGTTGCTGCAACAATTCATATTTGAAATGTACTTTGAAGGTCTGAAGAATTGTATTCACTAATTATTACCTGTCTTGAGACATGAGCTGAATATTCAAAGTGCTAGCTTGATTCATATGGAAGTGCTCGTCACATAAGTATGTGGTATGCACAAAGACTCAAAATATAAAAGCAAAGATTGCTTTTAGAGAAGACATTATTATAAAGTCAGTTTTGAGCTCAAAACACAACATTTTTATTACCACAACTCTTCTATTAAGACTAGATTAAAATTATTTCTTGGTTTGGATTAGCACTTTATAAAACACCAGTTTGAGAAATAAATACCAATTGACAGAAGACAACAAGATCATGCAAAACTTGATTCTGTCCCCAGAGGGAAGTCTGACGGCTGAGATCTTACACCTTTGATATCAAGCTGCATGCTAACAGGTAAGTTCCACAGGGCACTTATTGAGCACTGTGAAACCAGAGCTTACCCTAGAAATACACCAGCAATCCCAGAATTGGGACTGGCAATACTACATCTTAGCAGGCAGACGGTTTTATCCTCTGTTTGGTCAGGCACTTTCCAGCCTTTCCAGAAATGATGCTGCTTCTCCCTCCCTTCGCCAGAGCATCCCAAGCCTTCTTTCAGGCAAAAAAAATAAAATCAAATGACAAAGGTCTTACTGAAAGTACCAGAGAAAATAGGTGAAGAAGACAGTGCACAGGGGTGGGATAGCTCCCCGGAAAGGAAACTTTCCATGCATTAAAGAAAAAATGGTGCTTTGCAGTATAACTCTCTAATAGATTCTTTTTTGTGGGCGAGGGAGCAAACTACAATTTCCATCAATAATGACAGATCAACGCTGCATCTTCAAGCTTCCTCCTGTAACACGCAGACTGCCAACCGAGCATTCAATCCTTCTCAATACTGGCCTTTACATCTCCTGAAGGAACAAGCCCTGTCTAAAAAAATAACAATAAAAAAGCCACAACAGTGTCAGCTAAATTTTGGTTCTAATCCTTCCTGTCTCGCTACTGCAGACAAAACAAAGCCAACCTGGCCAACTTACTCTGACAACAGTGTATGTCACTGATTTATGTCCTTTCCACTCTATTATTGCCCTACAAACATATATTAATGTAGTATAAGCAAATATCTGATTTGTTTAACACCACGTTGATTCCTAGTGATTAAAATATGTATATGCATACAGCAAAATTTATACATACACAACCCCCCTTTATAAGCTCTGAAGATAAAATTATCAGTATTGCCAAACACAGAATATGTATTATATTTTAATTACATGAGACAGATGAATACCAACAAGACTACTTCATTTCTAATTAGCAAAAGTTCAGTAATCATCATCTTCCCTCCTGTTATTGCCTGACAAGAATAAATCAGGAGTCCCCTCTAGGGACTGTACAGTAAACGTCCTAACACACGTTTCTTTCAGAGCCAAGCTTCTTACTAGTAGTAATCACACAGGCATATAGTGCCTTTCACACGGTACAGCTGAGAAAACACATCGGTCAAGGAGCGCATCTTTAAAGTGTTTACCTCAAGAAAAGAGGTGCCTTGTGAAGTGCAATGCAGCTGCCTCCTGCATCCCTGCAGAAACTACCGGGCAGCTCGGGAGTTCTGCAGAGAAGGGACCCTCCTTGGCTAAGCGCTGAAGGACAGCCTGGATTTTCAGGCTGGAGGGACTCAGCAGACACAAAGCCCAAGTGGTTTGCTTCAGTGGGATTTTCACCCATGGAAACACAAGCGATCGCATCCCCCCGTTTCACTGCAGACTAGTCAGAGACAACGGCAGCACCTGTCACCCACAGCATTTACACCAGTCAATGAGATCAGGAGCGTTTCTCCATCACCCGGAAAATCACATAAAGTAACCTCCGCGCCTGCCAGCATCACTCTTTTCCGAGGAGCCCCCCGAACACTTAACTCCGCCATCGAGCCCTGACAAACAAAGGCCACCTCCTTTGATTTTACATAAAATTCACACAAACTGGAGGACAATACCGGAGGGTCTGCACAATGGGCACCAGCCGCAGCCGCCCACACCGCGTCCCTACGACTCGCTCCAACCGGAGCCAATGGCCCAGCCCGGGCGGGGAAGCACCGCTGTGCCCCCCGCACTCGGACGGCGAACGAAGGGATGCGGCGGGGGCGGCTCCGCGCCCGGGCAGAGGCTGTCCCCGAGGCGGGGGGATGGCTCCCGCCGCCGCGGGCCCGCGCCCCCTTACGGGGCGGGACGCCGAGCGCTGCCCTCACCTGCCACCGTGTACCGGTCCAGGTAGTTGAGCACGTTGCCCACGCTGAGGATGCCGGCGGCCGCCACCCGGGCCCGGCCGAGACTCGGCGCCTTGTGGAGGGCGGCCGCACGCTCGGGGTGCTTGCCGGTAGCCGGCGGGTTCATCCTGCCCGACAGGGTCTGCACCTCGCCCTCAGCGCCCCGGCCGCAGCAGCCCCGCTCGCCGTCCTCCTCCTCCTCTTCGTCACCGGCTCTCAGCCGCCCGCCGCAGCCCGGGCTGCTGCCGGAGGAGCCGTCGCTTTCCAGGCACATCATGGGCTGCGGGGAGGCAACCGCGGAGCGACCGGCGGAGCGCTCCCAGCGCCGCAGCCCGCGGCCGCCGCCGCCTCTGACAGCTGCCGGGCGGGGCGGGACCCGCGCAGCGCTCCGCCTGCGCGCCCCGCCTCGCCTCAGCGCGCTCCGCCCCGATGGCCACCGAGGCGGGATGGGATCACCTCTGCGCTGCGGGTCGGGTCGTGCCCGCTCGGCACCGCCGGCTTGTGGGGCTGAGCCATCAGCTCCCTTTATTCTTCTGCAGCGCTGCGCGCCGGGGGTGGGACACAGTCGTAGCAGAGCAGCGTGGTTAGCTGCGGAAAGTGTGCCAAACAACGCTGGCTTGTCTCAAGCAGCCAGCTCCACCCCGTCCACACAAGCCCGCCCGCAGATCTGGTTTTATGAAAGAATCAACCCAAATTTGCCTATTGTCAGAACCGGCTCTGGTCATAGATGCTGCCCAGGGAATAGCGATGGCGTGGTGCAGGGTAAGGGCACGCTGCGCTGCGCTGCGCTGCCAACAGCGCGGCTGCCTGCTCGGCCCCAGACGGTTTCCCTACTGCACGGAAGTAGCTTCAGGAGCAGCGTGCATCTTTCAAAGGGAGTAAAATTGCTCCAAAGTTCCCCCCCCAAAAAAAAGTTTCATCCTGCTCCCTTATAAAGTTACACCTTTGAGCTAAGAAAGGCCAGGAGAAATTTAATTTCAAAAGGAGGAGTCTTCAAAGAGATAAAAGTGGTTCAAAACCAGAGTGGCTCCAGCCTGTCGTACCTGTAGTAAAACTACAAAAGCTAACTAAAAGCAGAAATAAGATGTCTGCTAGAGAGCTAACGTGCACTTGTCCAAGAGCAGGGGGTTACGATTTCACATTTCTCTGTTTGTTGATCGAAACTGAATCATTATTAAAGCCTTTGTCTCCGGGACACGCAATTAAACAAACCCCCTGTCACCTGCCTCCAGGGAAGCCAGAGTTGCCCACAGCACAATGCGGTCTGTGTGCTCTCAGCATACCTGCCTTTGGCACACCCTTCCCACACAGCTCCCACCCGGTGACACCAGAGCCGGGATATGCAGGAATCTGGTGATACACTGCAGAAGGAACCCCCAGAGAAAGGGGCACTTCCTGGTGTGTCACTTCAAGATTCAGTGCTCCTGGAGCAGCACGATGCTGAGGAAAGGAGCAAACACAATTTCTAATGACACATGACACTCCCGAATAGTGGTGATGTTTTTATGTTGAGAATAGGTCTGCACTGATGTTCCAGACCTAGTTTCAGTAACAGAAAGATATCTGGGTTAACATAGGATAATGTTCTGTTTGACTTGTTGAAGTCTAGGGGATAACTTTTTTCTCCATAGCAGCATCTGCAGTTCAGCTGTGATGGACTGTATGGTAAAGGTTATACTAACAAAACTTCTTCACATTCCCACTGATCTCAGAATTCAAGTGGTGTATGTAATATGGTCAAATGACAGTGCTCACCCAGAATATTATATATCCCAAAAGGGAAGGAAAAACAAAACAACAGAGGAGAATTGAAAGGAAGGAGGAGGAAATGAAGGAAGGGTGAAATGACTTCACAAAGACCACAAAGCTTGCCCAGGAGTGGGGGCAAAACTGGTGCATTCTTTAGTTTAGACCCAGCAGGCACTACACACAGCTACAGGTTCAAGGAGTTACACAGACACCAGCCAAACTATCCAGAAGCCCTCAAATTTCTATGGTCTGCTCCAAAGTCTATTTGACCCTTCTGTTTCACTGCTTGGGCTACCCCTGGGCTTTGTGCACAAAATACAGTGTTCAGATGTTAATGAGATTATAAGGTAAGAGAAAATTAAGGACCTTAGTTTTATGGATCAAATGGTTCCCCTGAAAGCACTAGGAAAGTACAATTTTCATAAGAAACTGAAGTTTAATTTCATTTCTTTCATTTCATTTGTAACCAATACCAAGCACACAAACACAGCTGATGCTGAAGTCAAGGTGGCTCACAGCACATTAACTGCCTAAAAAAGCAGGGGAGCAACACCTTTAAATCCCCTACATCCAGAAAATCCCCAGAAAAAGAGAAACCAGCCCAAATACCAATTTACTATTAAAAGTCAACAGATATGCTCCAAACTTCAGGCAGGCTTCTGCCGGCCATCAAACACAGAGCAACACAGGACCGAGCTGAAGGAGCTTGCAAGAGCATCCTTGTAACAGAGAGGAGCTGGAGCTCAGAGACATCTACAGGCACAGCACAAAGAGGCGTTGGTTAGGCAGTTAGTTACACCGTCTTACAGCCAACCCTAACACCTTCACTTGCAGATAAGCAGAGCAGAAGCCATGTCATGAGATTTATGTAAAGGAAAAACAGAGGGAACTGGAAAAAATTTGATGGAATTGCCTTTACTGACAGGATGATTCATATGACTGAACTGCTAAAATCACTGGTTACCTACCAGCTCTTAAAAGGAACAGATTCTAGCTTAGAGAAATTGCTGGATTTTGCTGTTACAGGTTGTTGAGAGGCAATTTTATTACAGCGTGCAAGTTCTATCATGGGGAGAAAAACGACAGTTCTTTAAGCTCTAATCAAGAGGGAAAAGGCACAGCAAGAACCAGAACAATGTCTGAGAGCTGGAATTAGAATGAATCATCTGGTTCACATTTGCTACAGAGTGATTATTCTCTAGATCAAAATGCTAAAGGGATGTATTCTCTATCCCTTTACATCCTTGGATCCAAGTTGACTGCCTTTCTAGGAAGTGCATTACTGAACTCAAACAAGAGCTAGTGCACTCCATAAGAGACCTGGCTGTAATGTGGTGACACAGGGGGTCAGGCTAGAGGGGTTAAAGTCCCTGCCCTGAACATAAGAGTTCTTACTCCACTTACCAAGCACACATTTTATGCACTCACTTCAGTCTCTAGATTGATCTGAATATAGCCCCTAGTAAAGGGCAAAACACCAACCTGATCTTGAAATGGTGATTGCAGAACTGTAGTGTTCTCAAAGCCCTGGTGATGCTGGAGATGGCGAGCACCTTTCTAGATACTAGTGGTACTGTGTACTCTCTAAAAGCTAGGAAGCTCCCTCACAGGTGGAACAGTACCAAAAGGTGTGTAGATACTATTAAAAGCAAGTCTGAAATTACCTAGCTCATCCTTCTGCTTCTGGTTATGCATGCTGTCTCTGTTCCAGAATGAGCTCTGGCCATCTGTAGATTCCAGCTAACAGATATTAGCTAGGGATAACAGAATCAACAACCTTAGCACAGAGAAGTAATGTAGCCTTGGGCACGTCTCTAAAAACACGTCAGCCCATACACCATCATTGGCCTGTCCCAGTGGCCTCAACCACTCCGTCTGGTTCAAAATCAGGACCCAAACACAGGGACACACAGTCTTTTAAGGAAAATCAAGCTCCACAGATCACAAACCCCAGATTTTAGGTTCTCCAGATATGCCTTAACCTGATCAAATTTAATGAAAGGTCATGCTGTCAGGTGGTCATCAAGGCTGCAAGAGCCAAACACAGGACGATGACAGCACTCTCTAACCCTGCCCATTCTTGGGCTTCAAAAGGACAACAGCTCTGCAGAGCAAGCCCACAGTTACACACCTACATTCCCATTATAACTGCTGTATCTCCAAGCTTCTTTTTTCTTCAGAAACTTTCTAGCTGAATTAACCTGTTACTGCCAATTGATACTACACAGCTCATCCAGCTCAGGGGTTTCTTATGGGAGATGCTGTAGACACAAGTTTTAAAATCTCTCAGAAGTCAAATTATGCTTAATCTCAATGTTGAAAGTGGTGTCTTTAATTCCTTGAACTCAACAGACACGTGCTGGAGGAAGAGGCAGTGAATCAAAGGAAAGCTCTATGAACAGAAGCTGGCATGCCAAGGCCAAGTTCTTTTCTGACTGTCATGCTGTAGTGTTTGAAATCATAAACTGGGTGCAGAAGAAGCTGTATTTCTATGAAACCACTCATCTTCTGCAACAATATGAGCAGCTGCTCTCATCCTCCCCTACAATCCTTTAAGTGCCTGAATAGTTTGTGACTTTTCAGTTACAACACTTGTAGAACACACCAGCCTGCCTGGTGTATACCATCTCATACCAACCAAAACTAAAAAAGAAGCAGCAACAAGCCCCTCAAAGCCTCCCAACAACCCCAAAACACCCTCCCTTCCCCACAGCCAGCAGGAAAACACACACACAAACCCCAAACCAGAAGTCTACAAGCACAGCAGAGTGCCTCAGTAGCCAGAGGCAGCTGGTACAGCAGAGAACTACCACTGCCGTCCTCGCAACTTCTTAGTGAATGGCTTTTGATGTTGAAGACTGTTGAATGTGATGATCCATCTCCCAAAGTCCTGACCTTCACTATACTTAGAGGAGTCTCAATGCTCCAAATAAACGGAGTTTGTGGTCTCACCTCAGCTCCCAGTGGGGACTACAATTACAAGTATGCAACATTTTTGGCAAGTTTTTGAATGAAGGATGTTGAGCCTGAACCACTGCCTCCACCCACTGGAGGAGTCAGATCTGCAGATGATAACATGCATGTTTGCTGTTAGCATCCCACTTCTCAGAACAGCCAAATACTTGAGGTCTGATTAACTAGCATGTAAGAATACAGTGTGGAATGGACAGCTACAGAAATAGCATTCCTTCACTACCCCAGCATTTTAAGAAGGGACTGCCAGGTCCATGTGGGAGCAGAGGAATCCCAAAACAATAAGGACAGACCCAGAAGTTCCCAATTTATTAACAGCTTCCTGGCATCTTACAAAAGGGCCCAAGCCATGAGAAGGAGATCCTTACAAAAACAACACTAACAGAAAGAGTTCCACTGTTCGGTTTTGCCCACATGAGGACAGATAAAAGATGAGGTCACATAAAATGGAACAGGCTGAAACTATAGCTCTAACTGCAGGATTTGCTCAGTCAAGCTGACTTAACTCATTCCATTTCAAGACCAGATTTCCTTGAGCAACTTTGAAAAGTCCAGCTTCCAACTAGCAGATGAGCATCCATTGTCCCAGACATTGTCCCCAGAATTACAATCCCAGAATCCTAACCTTATGTGATTTATGTTGA